CCTGTAATCCCGTGCCTTTGGGAGGCTGAGGTGAGTGGATTGCCTGAGCCCGCGGGTTCGAGACCCGCCTGGGCAGCGAGACCTCATCTCTACAATAAATCAAAAAATCAGCTGGGCATGGTAGCGCATGCCTGTAATTCCGGCTACTCGGAAGGCTGAGGCGGAAGGATCGCCGGAGCCCAGCAGGTCGAGGCTGCGGTGGCCGGGAGCAGCCACTGCACTCCAGTCTGGGCGACAGAGTGAGACTCCAACTCAAAAAAAAGAAAAAGAAAAACAACCGCAGAATTAAAGTCAGAGTGAAAGAGAAGCAAAGTCAAATGTGGCTTAAATTTGAGTAAAAACAGAGCTTAGAAAAGAAAAATCAACAGTACCCCACAATATCATAATAAAAAAATATTGATTAAAAAAAAAAAAGCCAGGCTTGGTGGCTCAGCCTGTAATCCCGTGCCTTGGGAGGCTGAGGTGAGTGGATTGCCCGAGTCCACAGGTTCGAGACCCACCTGGGCAATTTGGCGAGACCTCATCTCTACAGTAAATCAAAAAATTATCTGGAGTGGAGCCACTGCACTCCAGTCTGGACAGAGTGAGTCTCCAACTCAAAAAAAGAAAAGAAAAGAAAAGAAAAATCAATTGGGTTCAGGTGGCCCAACTGGTAATCCCAGCACTTTGGGAGGCTGAGGTGAGTGGTTTGCCAGAGCCCGTGGGTTTGAGACCAGCCTGGGCAACTTGGCAAGACCTCGTCTCTACAATAAATAAAAAATTTGCCGGGCATGGTAGCACATGCCTGTAGTTCCAGCTACTTGGAAGGCTGAGGTGGAAGGATCACCTGGCCCAGCAGGTTGATGCCAGGGTGGCCGTGAGCATGCCACTGCACTCCGCCCTGGGCGACACAGTGAGACTCCAACTAAAAAAAAAAAAAAAAAAAGGAGAAGAAAGAAAAATCTCGGCTGGGCACGGTGGTTCAAGCCTGTAATCCCAGCATTCTGGGAGGAGGCTGAGGCGAGAGAATTGCCTGAGACCAGCCTGGGCAATTTGATGAGACCTCATCTCTACAATAAAAAAATTAGCTGAGCATGGCGGCACACACCTGTAGTTCCAGCTAATTGGAAGGCGGAGGCGGAAAGATCACCTGAATCCAGTGGGTGGAGTCTACAGTGGCCATAAGTGGGCCACTGCACTCCAGCCTGGGCGACAGAGTGAGACTCTGATTCAAAAAAAAGAAAAGAAGAATCCATTTGACCTAGGGACAGTGTCTTTCAAATAGCCCACAAGTGACATCAGACACATAGAGGAAAAAAAAAAAAATCCTCCCACACCACTGGGCTCTACGGTGGAGGAAAAAAAAGTCATAGTCATGTATGCAATTATTGTTTTCCATTTCCAGACTTCAACTACAAAGCAAAATACAGAAAATTAAATGTGACATAAAACAACATAAAAGTTACGAAGCATTACATCTAAAAGCAAAGACATAGATGACAAAAATGAGGAGGCAGGAGGGGCAGAGAGGGAGAAAAGACCAGGGTAGTAACATCATCCTATCCTGTGGTACGGGAGGGAGGAGACGCTATCAAAAGTAGGTGGAAGAACAGCCTGGGCAACTTAGCAAGACCTCATCTCTACAATAACTCAAAAAAATTAGCCGGGCATGGTAGCGCACACCTGTAGTTCTGGCTACGTGGAAGGCTGCGGCAGGATCGCCTGAGGTCCTGAGCAGGTCAACGCTGGGGTAGCCGTGAGCCATGCATGCCACTGCACTCCAGGTTGGGCGACAGAGTGCAAAAAAAAGAAAATAAAAAGAGTAGATGGGAGAATGTGATATTACAATGTAACTATCAAAAATAGAAAGGAAAGGAAAAGAATCCTGGAAGGTAATCCTTGTCTTTCATGGAAAGGAGTCAATAACGCCTATTTGATAAACCAAGAAACAATGGTATAGGCATAGGCATATTAGTGAGAGTTACAGAGGCATTACTGTTGATAACACTACAAACAAAACAGTTAATCACCTCTGAAAAGTGGGACTGGGACAGCAAGAATGTGGCGAAAGGCCATTGATTTTTGTTATAAGGCCTTCTATTTGACCTTTTATCACATGAATGCATTACTTTGACTTTAACAAAATAAGCATTAAAAACAAATAACTATAATATAATCTTCCAAACTGATCCCTTTGAAAAATAAAACTAAATGACATGCTAGAGCAAACTGTCACTAGAAAAATCAAACTCCCTTCTTATGCAAAGAAGCAAGAGAACAGCACAAGTCAAGCTTGGAAATAGCTTTGGCCGGGCGCACTTTAGGAGGCAGAGGCAAGAGGAGTGCCTGAACCCAGGGGTTCGAGATCAGTCTGGGCAACTTGGCAAGACCTCATCTTTACAATAAATCAAAAAATCAGCCAGGTGAGGCGGTGTGCGCCTGAGGTTCCAGCTATCTAGAAGGCTGAGGAGGATCACTTGAGCTCAGCAGGTTGAGGCCACAGTGGCCATGAGTGTGCTACTACACTCTAGCCCAAGTGACAGAGTGATACTCTGACTAAAATAAAAAATAAAAAAAAAAATAGGAAATAAAGCCGGGCTCGGTGGCTCAGCCTGTAATCCTAGCACTTTGGGAGGCTGAGGTGAGAGGACTGCCTGAGCCCGTGGGTTCGAGACCCACCTGGGCAACTTGGCGAGACCTCATCTCTATAATAAATTTTTAAAAATCAGCTAGGCATGGTAGCACATGCCTGTAATTCCGGCTACTTGAAAGGCTGAGGTGGAAGGATCGCCGGAGCCCAGCAGGTTGAGCAACAGAGTGACTCCAACTCAAAAAAACAGTCTGTGCAACAGAGTGACTCCAACTCAAAAAAAAAAAAAAATAGGAAATAGCTTTACTATTAGGAAGATGAACTTCTTAATTGAGAGCATCTAAAACTAACAAAATCTTATGACTGTAATTAAATACTTTTCATTCCAATGTCATCTAAAACTTTAATAATGATGCCTTTACATAACACATAAGAAAAACATGCTTTACCACACAACTTCATAAAGACTTAAGGATGAGTGGAAGGTTTTATGAAACAACACAGCAAGCTCACGGAAGGCTGAGCTTGGGCCCACAAAGTCTCTTTAAATAGTATCTATCATAATTTGCCCCTTAATAAATGCTTGGGGGTAACTGGCTACACATTTTAATGATTAAAGCTAAGCCCAGGTAGGTGCCGTCTCCATACTTCCCCACAAGGTCATGCTAGCTGGTGCGCTTGCGCACGCGCTCTCCTCCAAGCTCTCACTCCCATACTCGTCCTGAGCTGCACTGGACCCAGCTTTGAGCTTGTCTGCCATCGTGTGTTCCAGACCTGCCTGACAATATCCTGTGAGGTTCAGCCTAGGGAGACTGGAAGAGGAGAGAAGCGGCTGCTTGCTGTTTTCATTCCTAACAGCACTGCTCCAGCAAGAGGACAGCTGTACCTCCCAGCTCCAGCTGTGCCCTCCCCTCCAGTGGGTGAGCACCAGTTGCACGGCATCCCACTCGGAGGCCCGACTGCCAGCTGTGGGGGCCTCTCTAAGCTTCTAGGTTCTTCTCTTCTGTTCCCCCAGCCCTAAGAGTAGCCGAGCTTCCTGTCTGAATCACCTGTGTCTTTCTCACTCTCTCAGTCTCCTAATACCTGTGCACCCAGGTCCCAGAATTCAATTCTCTAACACACCACACAAGGACTCTAGGCCCTGAACAGGGGAAACTATGAGCCTCATCTGAATTCCTCCTGAGTCCCAGCCGGCAGCAACCCAGACTTCTTATAGCCCTGATAAGGAAGTAAACCTCAGGCCACTGTTTTTTTTGGGTTTTTTTTGAGTTGGAGTCTCACTCTGTCGCCCAGACTGGAGTGGAGTGGCCTTTTTTGGCCCCCCCTGTATTGCAATGTTGTAATAATACAAATTATCTCAATCTGTAATCCGAGCATTTTGGGAGGCCGAGGCGAGTGGATTGACCGACCCCATGGGTTTGAGACCATCCCA